CCACCAACCAACCAGTTCTCCACCAACCAACCAGTTCTCCACCAACCAACTGGATTCCTACCAACCACCCGGTTCTCCACCAACCAACCCGTTCTCCACCAACCAACCAACCTCCCACTCACCCAACCATCCAACCACCCACCCATCCGTGGCCGGTTGCCCCGCCCAGCTGCTCTCTCTCTCCGCAGCCAACCAACCATCCGACCTTCTCAACCTTCCAGCCAACCGTGACCTTCAGGAAACCCCGGCTTCCTTCAGCCTCACCTGAGCAGAAGGTGCTGATGTTGACGATGGCCGGCGCCTTCAGCGACGGGTGGGTCACCTTGCAAGAGTACTCGGCCCCGTGGTCCCAGCTCTCCTGGGTGACGTTGACCCGGCTGCTGAACGTGGCCTTGTCGCTGGAGCACGTGTTGCAGGTGGTGTCCTCCTGGTGCAGGTCCACCACTTCGTGGTTCTTCAGCCATTGCACGCGGGCGTCGCCGGCTCGGTTCCCCTCGACGAGGCACAGCAGCAGGACCTTCTCCTCCTCGTGGTACTTGTTTGGGTCGCTCAGGAGCTTTATGTCGGGCTCATCAGGACGACATACGTCATCACCTAGGAGGTCACCAAGCCGTCAGGTAAGGCTGGGATCAACGCCAGCCCTTCTAGGTGGCCACCAAGCCGTCAGGCAAGGCTGGGAGCAAGGCCAAGCCATCTAGGTGGCCACCGAGCCATGGTGCAAGGCTTGGATCAAGGCTGGGCTCAACGCCAAGCCCTTCAGAGGTCCACCAAGCCATCACACAAGGCTGGGCTCAACACCAACCCATCTAGGTGGCCACCAAGCTATCGTACAAGGCTGGGCTTAAGGCTGGGCTCAAGACCAACCCATCTAGGTGGCCACCAAGACATCGTGCAAGGCTTGGATCAAGGCTGGGCTCAACACCAACCCATCTAGGTGGCCACCAAGCCACCACGCAAGGCTTGGATCAAGGCTGGGTTCAACACCAAGGCTTTCAGAGGTCCACCAAGCCGTCGTGCAAGGCTGGGCTTAAGGCTGGGCTCAACACCAACCCATCTAGGTGGCCACCAAGACGTCGTGCAAGGCTTAGACCAAGGCTGGGCTCAACGCCAAGCCCTTCAGAGGTCCACCAAGCCATCACGCAAGGCTGGGCTCAACACCAACCCATCTAGGTGGCCACCAAGCTATCGTGCAAGGCTGGGCTTAAGGCTGGGCTCAAGACCAACCCATTTAAAGGTCCAGCAAGCCGTCGCGCGATACCGGCGGCGACTCCCCGTTGCCTCTTCCCACCTGAGATGTCCTTGGTGACGGTTCTGGTGGCGCTGTGGTCAACCCTGCACTGGAAGGTGTTGCCGCTCAAGCTGTCGGCGGGGACGGTGAATTGACTGCTGAGGGTGTAGTAGCTGCCGTTGTCCACTACAACCGGAAAGGTCTCGGTTTCTCCTCCCACCTTGGAGACCCAGGTGACGGTGACGGGTTCGGGGAAGAAATCGCTGACCAAGCAACCGAAGGTGACGCTGTCGGTGCAGCCGTCGGCGTCGCAGGAGATCAGCGGGAAGACGTCGGGAGTTCTGCGGCTGACTGCGAAGAAGAACCCCCATTTTTGGGGTTTTAGGCCGGGTTTATTGGCACGAACCGGCCATTTCGGAGAACCGGTAGCCACCTTGGAGAACCGGTAGCCACCTTCGGCCTGTCGCCAAGTCGGTGGCCGCCGGGCTTCACCGAAAGATGATGTGAAAGTGCCGGGGGGGGAAAGGTCGCCGCCAGAAGGGGAAGTTCACCGCGGCGCGAGAATTTCCTCCTCGACAGGTTTCTCACCCCAAAACC